CCCCCCCCACAGAGTAATTAATTTCTCTGTCAGGGTCTGTGATGGTTTCCAGAGACTCCATACATCATAATACAGACCGTAACAGAGAAGCTCCACAGACCATCAGCGATAGTGATAGACGAATTCCAGAAAAGAAGTTTCATCGTGTTTCCCATTTCAATCCCACAGGGATTGCGCTAACAGGTTTTTTCTACAGATCAACTGACTTGTCAGTACAATGATTTGAAATTTCCAAAAAATAGAAAATTCTAGTATGTTCCGTGGAATCGAAGAGAATCTAGGAACTTAAATATCTCGGAAAAGAAACTTACTACTGACAAACAGACAGATGTAGGAAAGCCTGCCAGTCCACCTCATTCACATTGTTCGAATTAAAAAGCTATTAGTAAGTTGAAGATGTTCCCTTATATGAATCAGATATCATACCACAGTTGTAGTTTTAATTCCGTACCGATCAATATGAAGTAAGATGCGCTTTAGGAGAAAATCTCTATTCTATCCGCATCCATTCTTTTATTTAAAATGATTGATTAAATCTATTGTGCGTTATTTGTTTTTTAGTTACCCCCTATTATAAAAATGGCTGAAGCGAAACCATTGCTAGAACGATCATTTTTTCAGCGTTTATTAGAAAACCTAAATATAAACTCAATTATGTTAGATACTCAATATCGTATGCATCCAGCATTAATTGATTTTCCATCAAAAGTTTTCTATAATGATTTATTAAAAACTGGCATTAAACCTGAACAACGACCAACACCACAAGAAATTAACTTTATTAATAAACAAATTCCATTAATGTTTGTCGATGTTGATGAAGGTTATGAAAGAATTCATGGATCGAATATTTTTAATAAGGAAGAAGTTGAATTAGTTTGTAAAACAATTCAAACATTACTCCCAACTCGTCAACCAAATTTATTACCGTAAAACTTTCTTGTTTGTTTATGTTTGTTAAATATTTACTTAAATTCTATCATAGAATGGATATTGGTGTTATTACTCCTTATGCACGACAAGTGAAGGAAATTGTCGAAAGATTATCAACAATGAAAGTGCCAAAAGGCGTTGAGATTCGAACCGTGGATGGATTTCAAGGAAGAGAAAAAAATGTCATTCTTATTTCTTTAGTTCGATCCAATGAGGATAGCGAAATTGGATTTTTAACCAATGAACAACGCATGAATGTTCTTTTAACGCGAGCGAAATGTGCCATGATTGTTTTTGGTAATAAGCGTACTTTAATGTCAAGCGATGTATGGAAGCTTTGGATCGAAGGAGTTCCTAATGTTACGTCAGCGCGATTTTTAAATGAATGTTTAACTAAACAAAATCAAATAACAGATCAACATCAATCTTCATCAACAAAAGAAGCAAGATCATGCACTAATAAAAACAAGCCTAGTAATTATAGAAAAACTTATTCTAAGTAATATACCTATTAATCGTTTTTTTTTTGAGAACATTTTATTGCAGAATTTATTTGTCTATCTGTAAATTATGTTTAACTAATCAAGATATTTTTTATTACAAGCAATAATAATTATTTTCGTGTGGCTAACGAAAACGGGCATAGGATATCTAAGGGCAGGATTTGAATATTTCATGAATGCATTCGTGCCAGACGTAAGTAAAGTTAGCACGATATTTGAGTAGTTTCAGCTCCGATTCCCTCTTTGATCTGTGTTGGATCTACGGCATGCTGTGTGAAATTGCCATCGTACATAAAATGGAATTTATTCAAGAAATATTTTTTCTCTTTTGGCTTTGAATTCATAACCCGCGAAAAGGTATTTCCAGTCCGGATTCGCTTCGAGATCTGCATTAGAGCTGTAACCGATTCTACTAGTTGCAATTTGTTTTGCACTATCGAATGATACTACTTTTTTAAAAGGCTGATTTATTAAAAAAATATGAATTTGGTTTGAGCGTGAGTGAGCATGTTTCATGTTAAGAATGAAAAACAACTGTTTTCAAACGTTAAAAACAGTCCTGATAAGGATTGTAGATTATCTATAGTGATGCCACAAACACACCCGAGCCGTTCTATTGATTTTTCAATCCATGTTTTCGTATTTACTAACAAATCAAATGGCAAAATTTAGACTTTGAAATTCAATCCAACAATAGATTGGATGATTCTTATGAAATGTCCTTAACACTTCAGTTGACAAAAATGTTGATTTATTGAGATATTGAATTGCTAGAGAAATTCAATATCTCAACAACAGATTGACATTCTTTTCAACTCGAGCCCATTCGTATTTTCTCTTGAAGAATATTTAAAAAAAGCTTACGACACTCGGTATTCCCAGGCGGTCACCCATCCAAGTACTAACCGAGCCCGACGTTGCTTAACTTCAGTGATCGGACGAGAACTGGTGTATTCAACGTGGTATGGCCGTAAGCGTTCGTTACACATCAGAATGTCGGTGTGATTCTATATTAAGAAATGACTCTAGGGGTCAACAGCACTCACATCCTCAAGAAAATTTTCATATTGACAATAATAAAAATTGACGACATTCAGTAGAAAAATATTTTAAAATTCAAGTCTTGTTTACTTAGATGTCTACAATCAATTTATTTTGAAGTAAAATTTTCTTTGACTTCTTTTTTTTTCTATTTACAAAACAATATAAAAACGACAAGTACACAATCATAAGTAAGATTCAATGGTTTCACTGGATTGTCTTCCTAATGAAGTTGATGAATCTAATCTTTCATGAGTAGAATTTCTTGATGATGGCAGAACTTGTGGTTGTGATAATAATTTTGTAGATGTTATTAGATTCGATGTTTGAACTGCTGTTGGTACAGTTAATGCTTTTATTAATTTGTCTTCTTGTTTTTGTCTGTATTTACTTTGATTGAACGTTTCTAATTTATTTTTTGTTTTACTTAAACAATTTCGACTAAGATTTAATATGGACTCTTTCATTCCTTTGACGTTCGATCGACAAAATTGATAGATGTCTTTAAGCAATTGATGATATAATGATAATACACGACGATTACATACATAAACAGCGAATATAAATAAACCGGGTGTGGCATTAAGTAAAATAAATAAATATTTAACAGTTGCAACAAGAAAACGTTTAAAACCTTGTTGATTATCAGGTAATAGAAATAAAATAAAACCGATAGTCCAACCAAAACCAGCTAATACAGCCATACGCATATAGATTTTAACATCATGTTCACCAGGTACAACTTGTTTTTTACGTTGAAATTTACGTTCAACTTGAACTCGTACTAGAAGAATATGTTGAGAACAAAAAAGACGAAACATTTACAAAAAAAGAGTAGCTTACCTTTTTTCAAACCTTTTCGAATACTTCGTACTGTTAACGCATAGAAAACAAAATTTATAATGAGAATAATTGCAACTGGACAACCAAATAATATAAATCGCATCAAAGCACTTTCAATCCAACAACCTATATATATATATATAAATATATAGTGCTGTGAAAAATTATAGAATCACTTGCTTAATTTCAGTTGTTAGTTTATTTTCGATCAACTTTAGTTGCTTAGGAAATCAAAGTCCGTGCTGGTGGCACACATTCGAATATGCTCTATTCAATTATCACGTTAGATTCCTGAATACTATCATTAGCTTTGAGAAAACTACAGCTTATAGGAATCGGTCAGTTTTTACTTGTGAAAAATTATCGAATTCTAGTTGTTTTCGTGTAAAAAGGAATTCGATTATGATTGAAAGATCGTTCTTTTTAACGATGAATTCAGGGAGAGAACACATTTTTTAACAAAAATGCAAGGGGATTGACGAGATTCTAATCAACTCTTGATTACTCGAAAATTTTTGATACCCGCCTATTGCTGTAATGAAGATATGTAGAGAGTTCCGAAGTATCTCATTTTGTTACAAAATGTGTTCTTTCTCTCTGAATTCATCGTTAAAAAAACGATCTTTCAATCATAATCGAATTCCTTTTTACACGAAAACAACTAGAATTCGATAATTTTTCACAAGTAAAGACTGACCGATTCCTATAAGCTGTAGTTTTCTCAAACCTAATGATAGTATTCAGGAGGAGTCTGGCGTGATAATTGAATAGAGCATATTCGAATGTGTGCCACCAGCACGGACTTTGATTTCCTAAGCAACCAAAGTTGATCGAAAATAAACTAACAACTGAAATTAAGCAAGTGATTCTATACTTTTTCACAGCACTGTATAAATAAAATAAAACACAGTATGATCTTGTTAGTTTCATGAAATTAACAGTTTACCTTGCAAAGGCGTGTCATTTTTGGTTCGAAAACAAACATCATAACATCCACGAAAAAATCTTCCATAACATGGTTTTAATCGAGCATTTTTTGCATCTAATATAATTCCAATTAAAACAATAATCATTGGCATACCCCATGCATATAAAGCATAGAATGGTAAACGTTCACGAATTTCATAGACATAAAGTGAAAAACCTTTATGAAATGTTTTCCAGAGATCGAAAGCCATAACATTCATCCAAAAAAAGCTTGCTAAATAGAAAAAATGTATTCCTAATGCAAACAATAAACAAACACTGGGTGTTGTCATTATAATTAAACTTTGTGATAGAAATAATGTTTCTCCTATCATTAAAGCGATAATTAAATTAATTGTATTACATCCAGGTAAATTACGCAATGAAGAAAACAATGTAAATGTTATTAAGCTTATAGCTAACGCAAATATAGAGAGAAATGTTGCAATAGTTGATAGAATGCCAGGTGCTTTTTCAACGAAACCTAATGCTTTTCCGCTAGCTGTACCATTATGTGTATCAAGTTTACAAACGACAACGTATAAATCTGGTCGTAAATGATCATAACGATATTCACGATTTGTATATAGACGGCCAGTACGTCTAATGCGCATTGAAAGGTTTTTATATTGAACAACTTCACATAGTGCGATACGCATAACAAGACTGTCCGGACAACGACCAACGATGCGCGGTTGACGATTACATACGGATACTAATCTTCGTGTAGAAGTCGCATTTGGCGGTGGAGATGTATTTTCGGCTCGCAGCTAAATTATAAGAAAAAAAATGTAATTAGTATTAACTTTCGACTACTAATTCTAGTCAGCGGGTGAAAACAGTTTTTCAATCTTCTCTGTTTAACATATAATTAGTAGAATGATTACCGCTAGGTCTCTTGATGCTTTTTGTGTTACTGTTGAAATAATAAATAAATAAGTGTAATCTCCACTTTCATATGTAGTTTCAAGTTCCGGAACATCAACCACATAATCAATTTCGCCATCGGCTCGTAAACGTCTACGTATATAACCATTTTTCGTTGGCATCATCACATCTGGATCACTACAAAATTCATCTCGAGTTTTATTTTTATCCGAAATAATCGAGACTCCTTCAATTTCAATTGCATAATTTCGACACAAATAAAGTACAGCATGAAATTCCGAGCCAATTAAAAGAAGTGTAACAACATGTAAACCTGTTAATGTATCTTGTGATGTTTCATTTCGATCGGTTATTGAAAAAGAAAAACTTATCGCAAGAGATTTATTTCGTGCTAGTGTGTTATAGATAAATTCATCGGAAGAATCATATGGATGGACAACTGACGCGCTATCATCCTTTCCAGGATTTTTACTTTGAATTGTAGAATTTATCGTGGACCGATTAACCGAATGATCTTCATGCACTGAAACACGATAGTCGATTTTAGTAACACGTTCATAATCAATATTAAGATAACCTAAAAAATAAATCAAAACAAAACTACGTCAACTTGAACTTTGCCCTAATGATATAGGCTCGCTTATCACCAGCGTTTCTAAGCCAAAATTTGAGTCCCAAATCGAAAGCGATTCACTCTCGGGAGATTATTTGTAATCCTACGAATTTGCTTTTTCGTATTCTATTATGTACACTCACCATGCAATGCATCATGAAACATCTTTTTCAAATCTTTCGTACAGGTTTTATTGATTTGAGTAGTAAGAAGTTTCGAAGTCTCGTTTGCTGGATAATGACTGCTTGGTGCAATAATCATTGTCAATGATAAATCAATATCACTCATTCGTTTAAAAGCATAAGATGTGTTTTGATTTGTATCCGGTATACATGTTGTGCCATTAAATTTATAATTGATTTCTTGACAATAAATATCGCGACATCGACCAGTCGATGGATCGAATAATTGTCCGTACACACAAAGACCATTGTCCAAATAAACAATTTGTGTCCCTATTTAAGAGAAGAAGAAGAAGAAGAAAAAAAATAGCAACAGCATTGCTCGACACACATAATAATATTATCCTATTTATTTGAATAATATAACTAGGTTGCATAATTCAAATTTACCTTGCATAATTTGAAAAGATGTTGTGCCATCATCTCTAAAATTCATAAGCAACGTAAGAGATTGAGGGACACCGGCGCGATTTCGGCCTTGCTGTACTATTGATTTATTAAGGTTATTCGCATTCGAAACTAGTTGAAGACCAGTCGAGTTTTCGTGAGTTATTTGATTTGCAAATACAAATGAAATTTGAAATAGAAATAAAAGATTGAACACAAACATCATCACCATCATTGTTGCATCGTATTGCCTGATGAAAAGATAATTTCTTTTTTTTTGTAAAAGTGAAAAATACAGATATTATCGTCAATATTTAGATAGTATCTTGTATTTAGCTTGCTGTTTTCGAATAGATTATTGCGAATATCGGGGCGCAGGCGCGAGAATCCAAACAGATGTTTGGCATACACCGAGAAACTGATTCGAATTATTTTAGAAATACGGATATAGATACGTTCGTATTCGTGCAAAGTCATGGTTTCAGAAAACGAAAATATTCATTTTTTCGGAACCAAAGTATTTTTTGCTTTGATTCATGACATCATTCGAAATTCTGTATCAATGAATCCAATCAGATTAAAACATGTTAGATTTGTTCTTTATTGTGTTTGAATTATAAATCAGATATTGATATTTCGGACTATGATAGAATCTAAACAAATAGATTTAAAATAAAGTGTAAAAATCTTAATATTATTGAAAGTATATCAATGCCTTTTCCATTGGTCAATTTAAAATATTGTTATCGAGAAAACAACGATTATGGAAGTCAATGAATTTAAGCTGATGATGAACATAGAAGATTTTGTTCGAAACATGCAACAAATGAAGAAAGAAGAAAACACAATTGAAAAAGTATTGACATACTTTCAACAATATCAAATTGTCTTCTGCTAATTAAAGTTTTTGTTAGTTATGTTGTTTAAGATCTATAATTTCAATTTAAACAAATAGAGTTAGTTTGGTCTAGTTTTGTTATCTCTATTGTGTCGATACCTGAGGTTAGCATCACTGCTATTAAAATAATCAGTTATATTTCTTTAGAAATCATTCAAGACTCGTGACATACTTGTACATCTATTAATATCGAATAATTTACACCGATGACGTTGTTTCAGAGCAATCTCTAGCAATCAAAGTACAAGTCTACATGCACGTCTGGTGCCATGTACAACTTCTATGGACGATACATTTGATTTTAGCCCCTCGACATTGCGCCAGGTTTCGATTGTTAGAAAGAGGGAAGAAAAAAGGAAATTGTTTTCTTGGTTATCATTAAATATGCAATTATTGGCTTTTAATTGTGTACGTTTGCCAATGGCGAATGCGTATGAGTCTCTATGATTCACCCAATTATTTCTTGATGCCCTAATAAGAATGCAATTCTAATTTTTTTCAGCATCCAGCTTTATGAATGATAATTGAATAGTGGATACATTGAATAAATACGTAAGAAGAAAAAAAGAACTGTTTAGTTTCATTTTTTTAAGCTGAAAGTAATGATAACTATTACATAAACTAAAGATAATACTCAATAAACACATAGATAATACCCGAGGTATGTGTGTACGTGCGCCATATTTCATTCTGCTGATCCTGTGAATGAGCACGAGTGTGCTTTTAGTTTATCTTTCGTTGACCTCATGTACAATTTATGAGTCTCCCATCACATGTGGTCGATGCCAAACAATCCATATTCATTTTGTTCGTTTCTTTTTTTTTTCTTCTTTACATTCTTTATGTAGAGTCAAGGCTTTCACCAGTAGAATAAGAATAAAAGTCAACATGATCAAGATATTTCCGCCGTTTTCTTTTTTCTTTTGAATTTTATCCTTTTTTTTAGTTTTCATTTAGATATTTATTATGTTCAATTGTCAACTAATCGTAAGTGATCTATAGGTATATATATATATAGACAAATTTTAATAGTCAAAGTTGAAATCTGTAATTACACCATAAGGACTTCATCCATACTGTGTTTCTTTTACTTTCTTTTTTTCCTTTTTGACAAGTTTACAGCCATTGAAAGAGAACGAGGGTAAAAAAAGGTACACAATAAAACTGAACTTTGTCTTAAAAAAGCTACTGACCTTCTCGTTCTCTCCATGTAACAGCGTACGAGATTCATCAAAACAAAGATAAATGCTAATATATATATATATATGTATATTCGCGATTCCCAGAAAAAAGAAAACCAAGATGAGTTATTGACCGGCACTAGCTACAGACACTAACAGGAAAACGATTGACAGAAAGAAAGAAAAAATGAGAATTTTATATACATTCATATATCGCAAATGGATATTAGATGCTTAGATTTCATCTTCATTACTTTCGATTCTACTATTTATATTCTGTAAAAATCGACGTACAAGAGAGAAAGAGAAAAAGAGAGAAAGCCCATTCATTCAATCATCATGGAGTTTTGCTGTTACAAACTATTGCTCTTTACCCTCCTCCCTTTCGTTCCATTTCTTCCATGCTGTCTTCGCCATAACGTTTACTCGATCTGTTCTGTTCTCTCTCGCTCTCTCTCGTTTCTGTCTTTGGTATTCTCCTTTCTTAACTACTACTATACACTATGCACGCATAATAATATCTACATTCTATACACACACACACACATTTTTCATCTTCTCATCTTACAACACGCTTGGCTGTGCAGTCGTTCTTATGTTTTTTTTTCCTTTAAACTTTTACATCGAAGAACAAAAGAAGAGAGAAAAAGAACCTATATTTTAAACTATTATTAATCTTGATTTTTTAGATAAAAATAGCAATGCCTAGTATGGATTCAAATTCATCATGTTATTCTTCATCAGAATCATCAACATCTTCTCTATCATCTCCACGGGTACCACTAACTGATATAGTACAACAGCAGCAGCAGCCGCAGCAACAACAGCACCCACAACAACAACAACAACAACAACAACAACCAATAAGAATATTAACAACCGCAATTCCTATGACGCCAATAGCACAGTCTCATGTATGTGTTACTCGGTACAAAACAGAATTGTGTCGACCATTCACAGAAACTGGTAAATGCAAATACGGCGATAAATGTCAATTTTCACATGGAATAAAAGAATTAAGAAATTTAATGCGCCATCCAAAATATAAAACAGAATATTGTCGAACATTTCATACAAGTAAATGATATATATATATATTTATTTATTGTCTACTATTAATAAATAATTGATCCTTGTTTTCTTAAAAAATTATCTAGCTGGTTATTGTCCTTATGGTCCTCGATGTCATTTCATTCATGATACACATGAAGCCCGAACAGCAATAAATACAAACGAGTCAATACTACGACGACATTCCGATGGAAGAACTAATCAATCAGCACAAAAATCAACATCGAGGTTCTTATTCGACATAATCCTAATGCAACAAAAAAAAATAAAAGGCTTTCTTTCTCTATATTAATAGAAATCGGTTTAATAGTGATTATACAAAATCTACAATTCAATCTACTAGCTCATCAAAATTTCCTTTCTCATTCGAAGAACTAAATCGAGCTTTAGTTTCGTATGATAATACTAGCGATGTTTTTCAGCACGAACACCAACAGCAACAGACTTATCCATCGGCTTTGCCTATTATAACAAATACATTTACACGTCGTGCATTCTCATCATCGTCATCATCAAATAGCAGTTTAACTACACAATATATTTAAGGTTGTCTTCAAATTTTCTTCTCTTTTCTATTTACCGTCCGTTTGTTTGCTCTCGTGCTTTATATACATACGTATATATATATATATATATTTATATAGATACATGTTCTTTTTATTTCCATCGTTTTCTTTTTTTCTTCTTTTTTACTATTTTATTCATACAATATTACATACGGTGCTCGTTTACTACTATTGTCCGGCAAAAATGCGCGTCTTATCAGACATTACACATAATGCTTCGCACAGCACTTTTTAATTTTTACTCATGCCAACAGTGAGAAAAAACATGTTCGTACGCATTTTGAATGAATATATGTATGTATGCATGTGTGCATGAGTATATCAAGATTGATAATCATATCTACTTTGTTAAGAACAGTGACTGATATGTACGAGCAATAATCATAATAAAACTAACGAATACGCGAAGCAAACCGACGGTGGATAAATTCACTCAATCGAAAAGGTTTAATATGTATGATATGTTGGTTTTTATATTTAACGGAACAATAATATTTGATTTTAATAGGCCAGAGAAGTGCATATTTATGAATACAAAGAAGACGAAATCGTTTCTCTCTCTCTTCATATATGTCACAAGCCAAATGAAAATTTCAATTTTGCACTCGAGCACATTTTCTCTCTCTCTCTCTCTCTACATTTAACATTCTTTTTCATTCAATTGCTTCTCTACTTGTGTACGGCATATATAATCACGAGAAGATTTGATGATCGATCAAAATTATACTTTTGGCTGGAGGTGTACACACTCATATACTTTCGATTGAAACATGTCGTCAGTATTGAGCTTTATATAAGGAAGGAAAAGTTGATGAAAGACAAACATCATCATGTACACTCACATATGTATACAGTGAATTTTAATTCCACTATACTTCAAATTTCAAAGGGTTTCTTTTTTTTTTATTGATTCTCTTCAAAATTTTCATTGTCAACAAGACGTTCAGACTTTATAATTGAAGTTTTCAATATGCAATCTTCTAATATTCTTTCTTTTTTATCCTTATCTAACAAGCGTAGGTTGAATAATATAAACATTCGCATGATGTATATATACATGATGTTGATGTTTTAAGCCTACATTACTAAATCGAAGAAAAAAGCTTCCTAATGTTAGTGAGATGTCGAGCTGTTCATTAATTTATAGAAGAATTATCCGACAACAACGATAAAGACATATGAGTTGTCCTTGAAAAAACGTCCAAGTTCGTTGATTCATCAATTATGCGTACTAACAGAACGATAATGAAGAACGTGACATGGATACCAACTATGACAAGCGAAATGATAAACCTACCAATAAAATATTGAAGTCTAAACAGATCCATGAACTATATGGATTATAAATGTTGTTTGTATGTAACAAGAAAAAGAGCAATCGACAGAGAGATCATAAATTTTTATTGCAATTTTTGTATAAATCAAAAACATATGAGAGAGCTTTAGTAGCCAATTTTTTATGTGCTAAAGGTATCACTTACACAGTTCGAAAGAAACAATTATGCATCATATGGCACAAAAACATACAATAACAACATTCAATAGTAATAATACGCATGATCAGTTGATTGAATACGATGTCTAATAAGTATTATGAGAAAGAAACTGCTATATATATATAGATATTTTCGCTTTCCGAAAAAACGCAAAACAAAATCGAGGTTTTTCTTTCAATGACACCGGCATTGTGTAATTGGAATTTATTTGTTATTTTTTTTTCAAATAAAAGTGAATCATAATGCTGGACGCTTACTCAATTCTATTAATATTTCTGACGCCAACTCACTTGTGAGTCAATGTAACCAGTTGACAAATTTTCGCCTTATGAATAACAATGAGAAAATAAAATAATTGGACGTCATAGGCAGATAATAGTTTATTGAATTTCAGTAAATATGAATAGCATCGTAATTAGATCAAAGTTCGTGGTCGTTTTTGTGCACTAATGCCCTACGGATAAGCGTATTATTTTTCTCTACAGTTGTATTAGAAAGATAAAACATCAGTTAAAAGGTCTATGCTACTACTATAGCTTGTCATTAAGAATATCAACATGATATTTACCAAAAATTGTTCATTGCAAGTAGAATTAATTTCACCGCATATTTCATATTTTAATCGTTTCCACACATTACTCAAATTTTGAGTTGTACTTATTTTTTCATACTGTTGTCAATAGATGTCATACACATATATATTGAAACGTATGAAAAAGTATTTTGCTATTATGATAGCCCGATGGTTAATAGCTAGCCAATAAGGTTCCGGAATAGGTTATGATTCATTTTTGTAGCTTTGGCCAGAGTTTGATTTATGTATTTTGTTTACGATTGCTTTTACATAATCTTCTATTTTTGGTTACGATGCCTGAAAACTTGGAACTGTGCTCGAAAGATTCTCGAGATCAAAATAAACTTATTCATCAATTAGAACAGCAATTATCGATTATTACACGTTTGTTATATACGACTAGTGTATCCGGTGTTGAACTTGATCGAAGCGTATTGCCTTATATTGCTAATGACATTGTTTTTAAGGATCCATGGCAAGAAGGTGGCAATAAACATCTCTATCGAGTTGGGATGAAGGGTTATTACCTTTATTTATGCTTTTTGAGCTAGAACTAAAATATTATCTTATAGGTTTTCATAATATGTTTCATTTTACATTTGATACATTTCAATTAAACGTAAAATTGAACGATGATCAAAAAACAGGTCGTTGTATTGTTGATGGTATAATGAATGTAAATCAATTTTCTTGGATTTATTCATATCCTTTACGTTCAATTTTGGTCTATGAATTTCGTTTATTAAATAGTCAAACTGTGGATGTACCACAGTTTGAAATATTTCGACATGAAGAAATGTGGTGAGTACAATTAGTATTTTGTTTTCAATACGTGTTTTATAACATATATATTATTAGGTCACTGGCAGATATGATTGATGCAATACCAATAGTTGGATGGCTATATAAAAATATTTTCCGTCGCGGGTTTGGCTATTTTTTTGTTAGTCTTTCAGCTTTAAGCTGTTTTGTGCATAATTGTTGGATTCAAACAACCAAGAAGAAACAATAGTGATTCCATGTGGTCTTTTTCAAACATTCTGTGATGAATTTTTCTACTCTTATTATTGATATCTCTCACTTGTAAATAATAATTTGTCTTTTAAAGATAATTCAACTGGATATTTCTCTTCTTTTCTTGTCCTAACATATTAATTGATTTATTTTATTTTTCATTTTGTAGATATCAATCAGCATTGAATATATTAATAACAACGATTATTTCCATGATTGAATTAATAACATGATCTATGCATTTGTAAAAAGCATGTTTTATTTATATTAAAGAATATTTTTCCTATGATTTAATAACTGCATGATAATGAATTCGACTTGTGCTTTCAATATGCTATTAATCTAAGTTATTCCCGATTATAATTATTGATAATTCATTATATAAGTATATACATACATCTATATTGCATGTTCTAATATCATGGATTACAGCAGAAAGAAGGAACAACGGTGCATGTCTTATTATTTTTTTCTAGATGACCTGTATTTGCTTGTTGGAAACTATATTTAAAAACGTATCGATGAAGATTAGACGAGAAAAACAAATAGGATACTGGTAATCTATTGGTTTGATTTACTATTATAGTCTTAGATTAGCAAATGTAGTTTAACAAGAATTTTTCTAAAAAATTCAACCATTAAAATTCTCAAATTTTAGATCTTCATCATGATTCCATTATTACGCAATAGATGTCCACTATTCTTACGTTCAACAATTCTTCGTATTCCATCCACATCGGTCTATGTGAATAATTCTCAAAATAAAAATTCATTTTCACTACCTCGAACTGTATTTGATGTCATACCAAAACCATTGCATCCTTATGTGCGTTTGAGTCGCATTGATAAACCGACTGGATCTTGGGTTATATTTTTACCGTGTGCGTGGAGTATTGCGTTGGCTGGTACAACATTGGCAAATCTTTATTTAGCTGGTTTATTTGGTATCGGGACAATATTATTACGAGGAGCCGGTTGCACAATAAATGATCTCTGGGATAAAGAATTTGATCGTCGCGTTGAACGAACGAAATCAAGGCCAATCGCTAGTGGAGAATTATCCATCAAACAAGGAATTTTGTGGGCAGGTGTTCAATTATCACTAGGCTTTTTAGTACTTATTCAATTGAATTTTCCGACTATTGTAATGGGAGTTTTTTCACTAATACCTCTTTTTATCTATCCAGTCATGAAACGCTACACGAATTGGCCACAAATTTGTCTTGGCATAACACTTAATTGGTTAGTGAACATTTTTATTGAAAAATAAAATTGTTTTATTTAAAAATAACAATAGGGGTGTACTAATGGGTTTTACAGCAGCAACAGGCTTTCTTTATCCGGCAGTGATAATGCCATTGTATTTTGCTAGTATTGCTTGGACACTTCATTATGATACAATTTATGCTCATCAAGATAAACAAGACGATATACTCGTCGGTGTTAAATCCACAGCATTACTTTTTGGAAAAGATTCAAAATTATGGTTACGAGCTTTTTCTATTGGCATAATCTCGCATTTAATAACAGCAGGCCTTAGTGTGGATCAAGCGTGGCCTTATTATGCAGGTCTAGTTGGGGTAGGCTATCATCTCCATCGACAAATCGAAACAGTTAATTTAAATGATAAGCAATCATGTTGGACTACATTTGTGTCGAATCGTTATACAGGGTTTATGATACTTGCTTGTATCTTAGCTGGAAATTTTTTTAAATGACTTTTGTGTATTATACGAATATATATAGATATATATGTTGGCTCCGAAATCTTTTTCCCGTCATTGTAAACGTGTATGAGAATTTGAAAAATGATTATAGTAGAAAATTGCATTTTTGACCAGTAGCTGTTTGTTAGCTATCGTAAGATTAGTCATTGGATAACTAACAATCATATCTATTTTGAAAAAAATCCTTAGACTAGTCAATCTTTGTATAGCTATTAGCGTTTACTTGAATGGAAAAAGATAGAAAACAGAAGTTGTTCGTATCATTGAGAGAGAGAGAGAGAGAGTGAAAGCAAATGTTAAAAAAGAATCAATTTTCTAGATGAATTCTCTATTATTAAAAACCACTACTCGGTTATCACGAGTCAATTTATTTTCCATCCCACAACGGTAATAGTTCGCTCTTTTTTTTTCGTTTCTTAAATCATGTTTATGTATATATATTTAGAACACTGTTCGATGTACAAAATGTATGGGGTCGTACAGCCGTTGATACTCAAAAACCAATCGATTCGAGTCCTCTAGCAGAAATTCCAAGACAAGATGTTTGTAGATTTATTTCTTTTATTCCCTATAATTCTATTTGTTTTCTTTTGTTGAATGTAAAGGAATCGGTTGGTGCCATATCCGGTGTACCTCGAGAATTTCTTAAAGAACGCCGTTGCCGAGTATTTGTACCAGCTCGTAATGCTATGCAATCAGGAACGAATAATGGAAAAAAATGGAAAGTTGAATGGGATACAAAAGAACGTTGGGAAAATCCATTGATGGGCTGGGCATCATCGTTAGTATTAATATTGAGAATCTTAATGAAATATAATTATCTTTGTTTGTAAGATCTGATCCTCATTCATCCGTTGCAGTTGAATTCACTTCTAAAGAAGATGCAATTGTCTATTGTGAACGAATGGGTTCGTATGATTTGTTTATAGTTATCTTAGATTTTTGCAAATAATATGATCTTTCTAGGTTACAAATATGACGTTATTGAACCACCAAAAATCCAACGCTTAAACAAAAGTTATGGAGCGAATTATTCTTGGAACAAGAAAACTCGTGTTTCAACCAAATAAAACTACACATCATGACTTTTTGTTTTTTCCTTCACTTTGATTTGTAAAAATATAGTTTATTCATCCTTTCTTGTCCTAAACAAACAATATAAATCTTTTGGTTTAGATGAACGTATTATATTCATGGTTGAGTAGGAATGAAAATATCTTTTGAAGTTTTACTAAATACAGTTATAATATATGAAAAATAAACTAAATTATCAAAATAAAACGAGATTCATGTAAATTTCGACTTGAATCATTTGGACAATGAAGATTAATGGAAATGAAAACAAAGTTAACGGAGTAAAACACAAATATCCTAGACAATTTTGAATGGAACAAAATAGACGAAAACCTTCTCGCTGTTTTCTTTTCATTGACTTCATTAGTTTACAATATTTTCATGCGTGCACTTTGTCATATTCGAAGAAATGAATTCAATCTACTTTTATGACATTCACAGCAATACTCAAGGATCTTCGTAATAAATTTGTTTTAGCTAGATGTCTCTGTCAACCATCGATGATTACTGTTGAATATAAGATGACGCCTTAATAGACATAGAGAATCCAATCGTAAATTTAGTGATTCAAGACGACGTCAAGAGAGTTCCTCCTTCTCATTTTGTTTTTCGTTCGATTCCAAGTTTCACGCTGTTAGGTTCATGGTTGATATCGAGAAACTCGAAAATGATGCACGTAAACATGCATCAAAAGCTGTTGACTTGGATTCAAAAGGCAAAAGTGAAGATGCTGTATTTTTCTATGTCGAAGCTGCCCAAGCATTGATTAGTGTACGTGAACAATTAATTTCTGATCGGCAACAATCTAGAACATCATCGATTGGTTTAAATGAAATCGTTCGTTTAATACATGATTATATAAAACGTGCTGAAGGAATTAAAGAAAATTTAAAATCGAAACCAGCAGCGAGTATTCATCTAAAGAATACATCAGAAAAAGGTGTTGAACGCGCTCGATATTTATTGAGTCAAGCACTTGATCAAGATGAACAAAAACACTATGAAGCTGCGTTTAAACTCTATCAAGAAGCTATTACACTGTGTTTAAATGAGAAAAAAAACATAAACAATGCAAAACAAAAGGAACAACTTGACAGATTTGCTTACCAAGGTAAAATAAATAAAACAAAACATGGATCATTAATTATTCATGTTTATTTCTTTCGTCAAATTTAGCTTTAGAACGTGCTGAAGAACTTAAGAAAACCGAACTCAATCCAGCATCTCATATACGTTTACCGTCGCCACCACGTGATGAAGTCATTCAACAAGAAGAACAACAACCGCTTGATATTGACGAAAAGAGTATGAATATAAGTGATAAACGAGCGAAATTATCTCCACATGAACTTGATGTTTTACGACGTGGATCTAAAATCAACGGTCGTGATTATGTACCATTTTTCGATATTGATTTACGTGAACGTTTTGCCTTTCAAACACCATTTGTTGATCCACATGGACCATTAAAATTAGCTCCTAAGCAACAATCACATTTCCAACGATGGGCACGGCCCGATGAAATTATGTCCGAACCAAAGATGATTATGGCTCTATCATATTTTTCCATAAAACAAGATTTAATTTCTGATTGTTCGTTCGTTGCTAGTCTAGCTGTTAGTGTACAATATGAGAAAAAATTCAATAAACGTATAATTACATCGATTATTTATCCGCAAAATAAACAAGGTTATTTTTTTTTATTAAATATCTTCTGAAAAAATATTTCTTTTTTCTCCATTAGGTGAACCTGTTTATAATCCATGTGGAAAATATATGATTCGATTTCATCTGAATGGTGTTTGGCGAAAAGTTATTATAGATGATACCTTACCAATCGATCATTCAAATCGTAAATGAAATGAACTAAACAAAAACTCATACGTTAGAAATTTTCTAGGTCTACTGTGTTCGTCAACAACAAATAAAAATGAAATTTGGGTGAGCTTATTAGAAAAAGCATATATGAAAGTGATGGGTGGATATGATTTTCCTGGTTCAAATTCAACAGTTGATCTTCATGCACTAACAGGTTTGTCTCATGTTTGTTTGCTGAACTTTAATGTAAGATCACCTATGACAGGTGAAGTTGAATGAACACGCGCAGAGTGGTCGAAAAATAAAATATGAGTATTTTTTAGTAGTGAACACAAATTTAGTGAATATCCTATTGTAAAAATATGTTTTTAATTTAATGAAATTTATATAGGATGGATACCAGAGCTAGTGTCTCTTCATCAGCCTGATTCAACATTTGATAAAGATAAAGAATTCGATCGTATGTTCGAACGTTTTCATGCTGGCCATGTATTGATTACAGTTGGTAAGATTTCGAAAGAGAAAACAAGAATCATCGTTTGTCTATTTTTTGTTATCATTTAGCTACACCTAATCTATCGAAAGAAGAAGAAGATCGTAGTGGCCTTGTTTCAAGTCATGCCTATGCATTACTGGATATGCGTAAAATTGGTACTCATAAATTAATAATGTTAAAAAATCCTTGGTCACATTTGGAATGGAAAGGTAATTTTAGTGATTTTGACACTCGAAATTGGACACCAGAATTAGTAAAAGCACTGAACTATGATCCTAAATTACAAGTTGATGTTGACAATGGGGTTTTTTGGATTGATTATAATAGTTTATGTCATCATTTTGAAAATTTTTATCTTAACTGGTCGCCATCATTATTTTCTCATACATCATGCATTCATAATTCTTGGCCAGCTCGACAAGGACCTGTTAAAGATCTTTATAATCTTGGTGACAATCCACAATACGTACTTCGTGCACAGCCTAAAACAAAATCAACGATTTGGGTTTGTGTAAAAAATGAATTATTTTCTTTTAGCAATATTTTGTTTTTTGTTAATTAGATTCTTTTAACACGACATATAACTGAACGACAAGACTTTGCTGTAAATCGTGTGTTTATAACATTATTTGTTTATAAAAACGGTGGAAATAAAGTTTATTATCCTAACGAAATAAAACCTTTACAAGATAGTGTTAAAACAAATTCAGCACATTATCTTGTTAAACTTGTCACTGACGACGAAGATTCAAATGGACCAACATTTTATACGCTTGTGGTAAATAAATTTTCTTTCAAAACTATACGAATCGGTGCTGCTACTGAGGGTGTGGGTGTGACTGTAGATCTTTCATTAACGCCCACATCCTTCTTCAGCGAGAGCGTATGATTTGAATATAAACTATTTCAATTTTATTTAGGTCTCTCAATATGAGAAAAATATTGATATTTACTATTCCTTGCGTGTCTATGCAACATGCCAATTTAGTTTGACTCCAGTGCCTGAATATTATAATCCACGATATCAACAAGAAATCACAGGCGAATGGAAAGGCAAAACGGCTGGCGGTTGTCAAAATAATACTGCGACATACAAAAATAATCCAGTCTATCAACTTGTATTAAATAATCGTGAAGGAAACAATCATAGTATGTATACCCGAAACGGCAACGAAGCTTTAATTCCTTTTCAATTTTGTTTCTAGTTAAAATTGAATTACGTGCACCAAAACAATTTCAAGTTGGTTTTGAAATAACATGTACAGAAACTAATGTATCAAATGCTCCTGGAGAATTTCAGAAAACAGAATCAGGTTCATATCGATCGGGATTTTGTGTATTAACACTTGATAATATACCGGGCGGAACGTATACTATTCGACCAGCAACATTTGATCCAAATCGGGAATCGCCTTTTTTTCTTAATGTTGCATCGTCGCATCAGTGCGCATTGACCAAATTGCAATAATTTCTAGAATATATTTCTTTACCTTTTTGTGTTCAATTGTTTAAACAGATTGTTAAGTCCCGGTGCAGATTATTTTCTTTTGTTCATGACATTTTCTACTCTGTATTATAACGAAATTAATGTAATGACAATCTTTTCTTTTTTCGTTTCCTTCTTCTTGACTAATAGCGCTGCCTATGCACATATTATAAGTTGATATGTTTTTATTTGGAACAAACATGTCAATCAATTGAAAAAATTGCATTTTATTTTTTAAATAAGGCACTATCACTAACGCATATTACTCGTATCATCTATCGATTTATTTAACACAATGTCTATTTGATATTTTTACTTCTGAATAATTGTACATTAAACTCTTGATCACCTCAAAAACATAAGAATGCATACAACCATTAGAAATTCGTATCGCTATCAATATCATCAAGAGTTAGTTTATCTAAAAAAATCTGGCTTTCGTCTATTTAGGATATGAATTATCTGAGCTGTTCATTTACTCATGTCTACGTTACGAATGGTTTTCTCACCAAGCAGTTTCATTTTTCATAGTGAGAATTTGAAATAATTCATAACTGAAGATATTCAACAGATATTAACGTTCAATAGCAGGTATCCAGACAGGCAACGGTTTGCTTTAGATTATAGAATTGGAGTCAAAACTATTCGACATGATTTGACAATCTCATCTTTAATATAGGTGAAATACAGCCCATGAGAAGAACTCTGGTGTTTTTCATTTGCTTAATTACCTCGGGAGTGATGTTATATGTGAGTGACTTAGATTTATTTCATCGAACAATCCAAATTAAAGAACTATATTAGTATGATGACTATAATATTTAGCCTATCTTCCAGTCTGGAAATTAATACAGTTTAAGGGGGGGGGGGGGGGGGGGGGGGGGGGGGGGGGGGGGGGGGGGGGGGGGGGGGGGGGGGGGGGGGGGGGGGGGGGGGGGGGGGGGGGGGGGGGGGGGGGGGNCCCTCAAAAAAAGTCGATTTTCGTCAAAAAATTGAAAATTGAAATAACACCATGGGGTGATAGCCCATGTTCTGCTCTTTCAGAATCACTATAGTTTTTTTTTCCAAAGACCATTTTTTGACCGAAATTTTTAGTGCTCTTTGAGAGGTCCTCTATGTCAAAAACGGCAGTATAATTAGGTCTTTGATCTCTCATGACTAATTAATTAATTAATTAAGCGCTCAGCGTGTGCAAAATTATAAGTTACCTAGGACAAGTTAGGTCAGTTTCCTCAGAAACCGCATGAAAATTGCAGAAAATTGAAAAAAACAGCAAAAAATTTTCGAAAAAATGTTTTTACGTTTTTCTCAAGATCATGTTTTTCCAACATGCATCCTAGTTATTTTGCCTTCAACTATGCTTTTTCGAAATTTTTTTTCATTCGATAGAGCATGCAAAGACGCAGGCATGACGTTCTCCGATTTTTGAAACAAGCTTTTTTTATGTCCAAAAAAGGTCGCCTACAAAATTTGCATGCAGTTTTTTGGCCTTTTTGAAGCATTTTTACTTGTGCAAAATTTTTCGGCTTATAAATGGACTTTTGAAAAAATCGAAGAGCATCATGCCCTGCATCTTTGCATGCTCTATCAAGTGAAAAAAAAATTTTCGAGAAAACATAGTTGAAGGCAAAATAACTAGGATGGAAAATGCGTCATTTTTAATCAGTGTTCACTTTATAACTTCCTTAAACTTGCATATTTCGGGCTGAAATTTTTATCGTAGGCTACCCGCTCGAGTCCTAACATATCCTGAAAATTTCAGCCGATTTGGACTTTCTTTGGCGAAAATCGACCTTTGAGGGGCGGGGGGCTTAAAATCGGCAAAGATGTATACTTTGACGGATGCAGTGACTCAATGTTCTACTGAACACCGATGTCTGCGCGGTCAGTGCACCGAATTTCAGTGCTTCAGTGAACATTGACTGAATATTTCCGGTGTTCTCAGTGAAGTCGGTGTTAGTGACATCGGTGACAGTGTAGTCAGTGCTCCACTGAGCACACTGTCGGTGATATTAACCCCAGTTTTTCGGTATTTACACCGACACTGCACATCCCTACTTTTGTATGATATGTTGACATACCATCAGAGAGAGCGTGAAAAGGGCTACAATCTGACGGGTAAATTAAAATAAGTAGTAACTATGATAACTGAAATATTTTATTAAAATGATCGGCTCCCCAAAGGAAATACAGGGTGTGGGTGTGGGTGTGTGGGTATAGGTAAAAAAGGAACCCACACTCACACCCTCTTGTGCGAAAAGAGAGTGGTGCCTATTTTGTCTGTTCAGCCAACCACCAGCTTTGGCTCGATATGACGGATGCTAAGAAAGATTTGGGTTTCGTGAACAAAGATGGGAGTAAGAAGAAAGCGTAGAACGCTTTTCTGTCATTTATGGGACTTGATTATTGCTTCATATTTAAATCTTGTTGGGGTGTATTTTTACCTTTATATCATTTTGTTTGTTAGCGTTATGTAAAGAGAAAAGTGTGGAAAATTCATTTGCCCATTTTGAAATCTGAGTAAAAGCAACAGTGTCCTTGACATTGCACATTATCGTACTTTCTCGTTCTAATAAGGAGAAAACACGTTTTCTACAGTTTCTTCGATAAGTATCAGCCAACAGAGTGTGTGGAGGCGAGGGTGTGCGTGCTCATTTAGGAAAGAATAACACTCAAACTCTATATTTTTCCATTATAATGTTTTCTTTTCAACATTTTTCATTTTGAAAATTTTCGAGCACACCAAGGAAACAAATCAACAAAAGGAAGCAAAGAGAACGAACACATATTAACGAGATATATAACATTTTGTCTTACGGCGCATTGTAAGTGCCCTAACAACAATAGTGAAACTTATTCATTTAGGACATTCGTATTTATTGGAAAGAAACATTGAAAACTCTAGCATCACGACAATGCAAAGCATAATATTTATTCGATCACACTCTATTTTATGTTAGCGGTTCCTTCTTGTACAATATCCTTTTATTCATCATGAGTTTCTTTATGGTTTGTTGTTTGTGAGAAATGAGTTGTTATGCTTTGACGTCGGTTTGAACCAGTTTTGCAAGCTCATAGCTACGGATGATTGGTGAAATTCCTGCTTATAATTAGTAGAAGGTATCACATGTACAAGAAAGCTAAGTGTTTGAGGAGCATATGACAGAAAATAAGCAATCAAGAGTCCATGCCGTTGCCAACTCATCAATGTCCTACAGGTCAAGCTAAATGAAAGAATAACTTGAGGTAACGCCGACAGAACAATGATAGACGATGTCACAAAGAGTTCTTTCTGTGCCATCAACTGTTTTTTCATTATCTGACGAAGTGTTACATGGTGTCCTGCCGTTTTTGTTCGTTGACGAGTAACTAAAACAATAAGGAGAATGATTGAAACAGTTTGCAAAAGAAATGGAACTATATAATGAAGAGATGTGCTCAGTCGATTGTACTCAGCGACGGCCGGTTGATGTCCAAAATTAATCACGCATAACGAAATGTTCGAGTCAGGTTGACGAATTGAGATTGAAAAGAAGATGTCATGAATATGCATTGCCGACAATGAAATCAGAGTTACAATACTTGACCAGATGGCAATACCGGGATTCTTGATGATTGGCAGAGTAGGAAAAATAATCATCAGAAGTCGATCGACAGTAATCCAACTTGTAAGCCAAAAAGTAGTCCGTGTGAATACATCCAAAAGATAGTTTATTGCTTTGCACCATGCATTATTAGTCAATCCGACTGTGGATCCCAAGGAAATATGTATTAATTTGATGAGAAAACAGAATAAAGCACATTGATTGATAATAGTAACAGCAAAAAGCCAGTTGCCAACACTTGTCTTAAGTGGTTTGGCACGTTGGAAAGTGACGATTGAAAGGAAATTATTGAAAAAGCCGACAATAAAAATAACAAAAGCTATAATAATATACATAAGTTGCACGGGAAGTCGATCAAGTGCTAGTAGTGAATCCAAAGTAAGTGTGAAAGGTTGCATGCTGAATTCGCACAGACGACCGCTATGACAATAAGGACACAGACAAATGAAGTCATTGAAATCTTGAGGATCTCCTTGAACACATTTTCCATCAGACAGACAGGAGTCACACTGATCGAGAAAAGTATCATAATTAAAACAGTCAGCTTGCATTCGACTACTTTGGCACAGGCAAAAATAAGTCGCATCATAAAAACATAAGCGGAATGAATCATTTCGACAGATTTGATGGTATTTGAAGGCAAGTGGTATGCCATCGTCTAGGATAGAAACACAAAAGAGTGCGATATCATCCAATGGCAATATTTATATTCTTACCATTTTTTAATAATGATGAAACATGTGGGCAATATTCAGGTGTTGAAATAATATTTTTAATTAACCTATCGGGTTTAATATAAAGAATATAGTAATTTGCACTTGTTAAACTAACATGAAGCTTAAGAATACCAAGAACAGGAGCTTCAATTTGAGAATGGCGCAAATGAATATGCGAGGGAGTTCCACTAAACCATTGCTGCTGCCGAAGAATCAATTCAAAGGTAATATTATCAACATCGTAATGTTGCACAACAGAAGCGAGAGTAGTATTTAGTAAGACAACCGTTTCCAATTGAATGTTGATTGAGCTCTTCTCATACTGACACATATCACCATAGAAGTGTTTATGACAGATGCATGCAAATGGACGCATTCCAGAAAGATCAAACGTTTGATAGCAAGTTCCATTATTGCGACAGGGATCTGATTGGCAATCATCATATTTCAAATTGCATCTAGGACCGAATCGATTTTGAGGACAAATGCACAATGGTTGCTTGTTATTTGAAAGTAGAGGGCGTCCATTCGGTCTACAGATGGATCCAAGAAAGCAATATCCCGAGCAGTCTCTATCAAACAATTTGCAGTCATGCCCATAAAAACCACTCTTACAGGAACAAAAATATGACCATTTCTGATTGCTGAAGAACGGTATACAAATTGAATTTGAATTACATGTAATACTGATACATGGATTGTGAATTGGATTCAAGTATGTTTCAGGGAATTTTAAAGGAGTAGCCAAGCGAAATGAAGGTAAATAATCGAAATAAATCGGAAAGTTCCATGCAACCAATGCTCTGGTTTCATTAATTGTTAATTCAAATGCTTCGAAATGTACAACATACGGATGATTGTTGGTAATATCTGTTCGATTAAAATATCGTTCTCGTTTGTGTTTTAAAAATGGATCTGAACGGGAATAAACTAATTGAAACTTGTGTTTTGTATAATATATTTTTTCGAGTTCAGGTATGGCATTGAATTCGTAGGAGTCGATTATTTTTTCGTCTTCGAATAAAAGCAAGGCAATAACTTTAATAACAGCACTTCTTTTAGTTGACTGGTCATAATCTGTATGAGTGAAGTTAACATGCGTGATGATTGTTATACGATCACTGAAATATTCACAGTAGTTTCCATAGTATGTACCTGAACACAAACATCGAATACTTGTACCCACTCGTACAGCTAAACCTCGATTGCATAAGAAAGAACCGTTCATATAATTTCGATCAGCAATGAACCTTTTAGCTCTGCTGACGAGATAGTCTGCCTTATTGAATGATGAAGATGTATTTTTGACTTTGAAAGGAAAAGACAACCAATGAATTTTGTGTTGCAGCTTTTTGTATTCTTCGTGCTTATCTAATCGATAACCTACTCGGTTCTCATAAAACGAACACCAATATTCATCTTCTCCATATGGACATTCATTCGTCCTATTGCAACGAGCATTAGGAATACATCGACCATTCAAACATATCACATCAGATCTACCTCCGCATGAATCGTTCTGAGTCTTGTGAAAGCACAGATGCTGATCATCTTCTCGATTAGCACAACGTTCAATGCAGATCATAACATGGGAAATGCAGCGTGGCGGATAAGTGCAGCGAAAATCAAACCCTTTCATTCGAGTAAGACAACCACTTGCTGTATTTCGTTCATCCAAGTCACCATAACAGTGAGAAATACCGTCTCCAATTAATGCTAAATCAATGCATGGCCGATTTTTAACGATATCAATAGGATTTGTTACATTAGCCAATAGACATGGAAACTCAATTGAAACGTTGCACTTGCTAGAGAATGGTTGTGTTGTGTACTGTTTTGTGCAGCTTTCAATTATTTGTCGTAAGTTTTCAATGTTTTGATTCAGATTCCAAACATTCACATAAATAAAAATACCTTGCTCGTCGCTTGCATCGCTACAATCCCACTCACCATCACATACCCATTCAACAGGAATACATTGATTTGATTTACATCGAAATGATCCTTCTGGACACAGCCATTCCTTACAGAATGCTGGATGCTCATCAATCGGTGGATTCATATCCCAATGACTATTGCAATAAGCATGATGAGGGACTCTTTCAATTAAATGCTTGTCTTCATATTTAATTGTCTTATTAATTGAGGACTGTTCAATATATTCTCTCAAAAACCGGCAACCATCGTCATTTCGATTTTTACATACAATATCACGAAGTAATGTACCACTTCCGTAGACATATAAATCGAATTTATTTGTACATTCTGCAAAACGATTGGCAATTGCATATGGGAGAAGGCACAGTGGTTCGGTAGATGAGCATTGTAAACGATACTGTCGCAGTTTGGTGCAAGTGCTAATTGCAATACTTCTGTCTTCATCATCCGCGAGTGGACAATCTGTATGTCCATCATTCATACGATACGGAGAGATACAGATGTGTGAATTCCAGCATACATTCGTGGAGTAGTACCTTCGTTTAGAAAATGTATACGAATCATTCCAGCAATTTATAGGAAAAAAATTTACGAGAGATGACGTATTTCGTTCTATAAAATGGCTTCCACAGAAGCTTTCATCTCTCATGCCATTTCTGATAAAGTCGATATTATAAGTCAAATAAACTGGTTTCTCTGTTTGAGATACTTGTCCTAGATAACCATGACATTGAATGCTTCCCAATACAAGAAAGTGTGTTGGTACCTTATCAGAATACTCGTCTTGTACAGAATAGAAAAAGAAGATATAAGGTCGAATCAATCCCAAATTTTGATAAGGAATCATTTCTGGATTGGGACATAGTGAAAGCATGAGCTCTTTGCAAGATACTGTCTTGCCACATGGACAATCACGTTCAAAGCCATTGGTCAAAGCACATCTCAGTAGATAGGTACAGGCTTCAGTGGCATTGGTCTTAATTGTAGTTATATTAAATCGTGGATCATCGTAGCCTCGTTCAAATTCACACGTACCGCTTGACAAAGTCCAGGCTGCCTCATCACGCAAGGTTTCGCACATATGATTAATATTGCGAAGATTATTACAGTGCTGAATTAATGGAATCAAAGTCTGAAAAGGCAATTGAACATGAGATGCTACCAATTCTCCGTCTCCACATGACCACAATTCTCTTATACCTTTGTATTCATCACAAACGAAAGTGTATGGTTTAATATAACATGTAGGACCTTCTATATATGCTTCGTCACTGTGGTCCATACAGTCTGGGTCACCTATGAATACACTAAGTAATTATTTTTCTGTTCAAGAAATAATTTACAAACAAGGCTTACCATCTAAGAAATAAAGTTCAGTGATGCACATACCATTGCTGCATCTGTATTCATCCTCGTCACATTCGTTAAATTCTAATTTATCACAATTTTCTTCATCCAATCCATCGATGCATTGTTGCTCACCATCGCATACATTTCTCCAATCAAGACAAAGCATACCAAAATTACATGACAATGTCTCATAGCAAACGATTTTTGCCCATCTCTGATTTTCTGTAATATCTTTCTTTATTTCGAATTGAATTAAAAATGAATCAGAGACTGTTAGAGCTCCAAACAACAATTCATACTCGCAGTATTTGCCAAATGAACCACGTCTGGTACAGTTGCACAGAAAATCATTTGTATTTAATACTACTGAGCGATTGTAGAAAAAATAGGCATACTTATCTACCATTTCTATACTTGAACTCCATGTCAAAATAGTAATAGGAGAAACATTATTGGCTAATAGATCTTGGAAAAATCGCTGTTCGCCGTTAGTAGTACAGTTCGTGTACGGTGTTTGAAGTATAGATGAATTGATATATCGGAAACAGTATTTAATCGTAGAGTCATCCTCTGAATTGTAGTAGACGCAATCTTTGTATTCTGCAGATTCGTTATTTTCTGTTTCGTATAGCAATATACAACCATGGCTTTGGATAAGTAAAGCAAGTACAATCAAAATAATGCTATGCACTGTCATCGAAGCTTCTTAACTCTATAGCATAAAAAGCGAAGTTAACGATGCAACACAATATTTTGTGAAACACGATCTGAAAGAAGTGTTGAAGTGTATATAGGTAAAACCTTTGAACCCAGCGGCGGGGGGGGGGGGGG